CGCCGCCACCACCGCCGCCACCACCGCCGCCACCACCGCCGCCACCACCATCGCCCGCTACGCCTTCAACCTCAGGCTCCTCGTCCCCCGCCACACTGACTGGCAGCAGCGGCGGCCTGTCGGCGGGAGCTCCCTCTGTGGGCCCACTCGCAGCCCGGCGGCGCCCTCGCCCGCGGCCACGCCCTCGGCCGTGCGCTCCGCCTTTGCCGGAGCCGCCGGCGGCTAGCAGCCTCGCCAGATCCTGCCCGGAGGGCGGCACGGGCGGTCGGGTACGGTCACTGCTCACGGTTGGTGGAGGAGGCGGGGGTGGCCGGCGAGGCGGAGGCGACGTCCGTAGGTTACGCTGCTGCACGGCGCTGCCCTTCTCGCGCTGTGAGCCGCGGCGGCGTGGCGCCGAATTGCTTTTGCCGTTCATTGGACTCGGCCGGCTCAAGGGGGACCGCGTGATTTTTTTGGGGCGGGTACCCATTCGGTGCTGGTAGCGACCTGACGCTGCTTAGAGCTGCAAGCGTCAGGTCGCCCTGTTCGCAGATCTCCTGTGCCGCCGCCATGTGCCTTTCGCCGGCGCTGCCGAGCGGTGAGGACCTCGTCCGCCATCAGCTCGAGCTGCAGCTGATCCACCAGGAGGTGCACCAGCGCTACGCCGGCCGCCGAGGGAGGTACAACAAGCACGACAACAAGCACGGCGCGGCTCCGCTTCATCAAGGACACGGCCTTCCTGGGCCTGCGCTTCGGCAAGGTGGTGCAGGAGCGAGACATGGCGATGCTGCGCTTGCCGCTGACGAGCGAGCTAGGCGGCGCTGCGCTGTCCGAGATGGATGAGTGGTCGCGGCGGCACGCGCCCGACCCGCGCTCCTCAAACCAGGGTGAGGTGGCGCGGTTGGACGAGGAGCAGCAGTCCACGCTGCTCAGGTGGGCGGCCACACAGGCCAACGGCGGCTGCGTGGCCGACCACGCTGCTCGACGCGGCGCGCCGCCAGCCTACAGGCTGCACTTCGGCGCGTACAAAGGCCTCACGCTCGCGAAGCTTGTGTCAGCCTCTCGCACGAGCAAGGGAGGCGCGCGTGCACTCTCCGTATCGATGCGGCGCGTCATGAGCTGACTGGTCGCGGGTGGCTGCCTCGCAGGTGGCATGTCGGCGCTGCTTCCGGACGCGCCCAACGGCCCGTTGCCTCTTGAGCACGTCCGCCTACCCGTCGAGGAGGCGATGGCGACGATCGAGGAGGCTGGCGAGGGCGAGGAGGCGGACGAGGGCGAGGAGGCGGACGAGAGCGGTGGCGGCTTCGACAGGCAGGACGGCGGCACGGGTAGTGAGGCGGAGGAGGAGGAGGAGGAGGAGAGCTACGGCGTCGGCGAGGGCGGGGCAGCGAGGGCGATGCCTCCTTCGCACACGCGACTGACTCGTCCTATTCATGAGGTAGGCGCGCAGATCGGCGGCGCGCGCGGTGTTGGGCGCGGCGGGCGCGGCGGGCGCGGCGGGCGCGGCGGGCGCGGCGGGCGCGGCGGGCGCGGCGGGCGCGGCGGGCGCGGCGGGCAGCACCGAGGTGGCCGTGCAGCCTTCGAGTGGCAGCTCCCCGCCGACGCGTCCGAGGAGCTGGTGCAGTGGTTTAACAAGATCAACGCCGACTTCGCGGATGATAGCATGCCGCCCATCGGCAACGCGGCTCGAGCGCGGTGGCTG